ATTGCGCACGATCGCCGTGATCTCGCCGCGGCAGTCGGGGCCCGCCACGCCGCCCAACGAGAGTACTAGTCCTGAGCGCGGGGCGCCCCGTAGGCAATTAAGTGCACGGCGGCGCAAGACCCGCCGCGCCCGTAGACGCCAATTCGCGATTAATGGTCGCGAGACTGACGTCCGCGCTGGCGCGCAAGTCGTAGCTGGTGGCCTGCCGCCTGCGGCGCGCCCCGCGCTGGTGCGTGTGCGTCGGGGCCCAGATGCTGGATCTTGAGCTTCTTGAGCTCGCGGCGGTCACTGGCGTCGTCGCCCTGGCGGTTGCCTGCCACCGCCAGCAGCGCGGGCCGCTCGGGCGATAGATTCCCGCAGACCAGCGGGCGCCTGGGGCCGGGCCACGTTGCCGACGTGGATGTGCAGATTCCCACTCGGCGCCGAATCCAAGTCGAAATGCCTGGCGCCGGGCCCATCGGACTCCGCGCCCGCCAGGGCCGGGGAAAGCTGGGCGACGCCTTTCTCCGCCGCCCCGCCGTTGGACTGCGTGGGTCGCAGATCGAGGAGGGCGGAGAGGTCGAAACCATCCACGGCCGCGGTGGGCGCGCTGCGCCGCGCGGCCGCGCCTTCGGGGGTGGCCTCTGCGATGAGGCCGTGCACCTCGCGGCGCGCAACCTGCGATCCGCTGCCGACTCCTGCCAAATAGAATGGATACGACAGATTCCCTTCAGCGGAGACCAACTTTGCGCCCTGGGCCTCGTCGACCCTGTAAAATGCAAAGCGTAATCCCCGAAAGTTGGCGCTGGCTCCGGCGTCGACGTCGACGACTCGCCGACCGCCCAGGAGGTCGGCGCTCGCCGGGTAGTCCAGTGAGTCGGTTGACAAGCTCGCGCCTGCGCCTGACGATGCAGGCCGCTGCGCGGCGGCATGTGGAAGTCCAAGTTGGCGTCGCTGGGCGCCGCCCCGTCGGCTGCCGACGCGAGGCTGGATAATGCAGAAGGTCCTGCCGCGGCGCTCCGGGCGCTGGCGCGGGCCGAGAAGACTGCGCGAGGTCCTGCCGCGGCGGAGTCTCTTCGGGCGCGCCGTCGTCCAGCGCCGAACGGGCCGCCGCCATGGGCGCCGGGCCCGTCGGATCAGGATCTCCCGCGAAGGCTGGCGCCATAGGCGCTGGGCCCGCCGACGCGCAATCTGCGCCGATGAAGCGGAAGTCGGCGATGGCGCAGGCTTGGCCGCGGCGCGCCTGGCAATGTCGCATGTGGGCGTCGGAGGTTTGCGCGAGCTGCGCGCGGCATGCCCGGCGCCAGATGCGGCGGCATTGTAGACGCGCCCAGATCGCCATGCACGAAGGCCTCGAGACAGATAAGGCGCCCCCTATTGGGGGGGGCGCAGAAAGCGCGGCGGCCGTCGCGGGAAGATGATTCGTCAAGGTTTCTGTCAAATTCTGCGACGCCTGGCGTCGCTGCTGGTCCTGCAGTCATAGGAGCTCCAATGATAACTGTGCGTTGTGGAGCTCGTCGATGTGCCGTCGTTTCGCGCAGTCGAGACTGGCGCCCGCTCTGGCGTCAGATCGGCCGCCGCTCGACGCCCGGGTCTCGCGGTCGGCCTGCCGCGCGGCCACCCCCCCAGATGGCTGGCACACGTCCACTGGGGCGTTCTGATTGATTGGGGCCAGATCCCAAGGGGGCTCCAGCACGGGCGGCGACGCGGCTAGCGCAGAGCACGACGGCCACGTGGAGCTGGATCCACGTGGCGCGCTGATGGCGAGGGCGAGACTCCTGGCGCACATGCGCAGCCGGGCAACTGCACGTTGGCAGGCGGGGTCGGAGAGCCGGCGATTCGCGCGTCTACGTCGCCAGCTCAGTCGCGCCCTTTCGTCGGCCCCAGTAAGAATGCACTGGCCACTCCGTTCCAACGCGGCGGCGTCGGCGCCGACCACAATTCTGGAGCCGCTGGCGCCGCCGACGCGGCTGGCGCCGCGCCCCTGGGCCCCAGACGCGCGGGCCAGCGATGTAGTTGCCAGGCCCGCGGGTTGAGCGGAGCTCTGCGCGCGGCTCAGAAACTCACAGCAGTCGCCGCCGTTCTGCCTCGCGAAGGCCGGGCGAGGGCGACGAACGTATCCCCGCCCAGCTCGACCATTTGCTGCGGCCCACTGCTTGCCGCGAGCCGTCGGGCGTCGCGCGCGGCGCCGCTGCCGCGGCGCCGCCGCCGCTGGAGTCGGCCGTCCGCCGTTCATCGTCGGGGCCCCCAAACATAGACTGGGGAGTCCCGGAGGTGCCCCTCGACACCCAGACCGCGCACGTGCTTGGCGCGGGCTGCTGAGCGGATGGCCCGGGCGCTCTTCGACGTCCCATGTGCGCAAACGGCGAAGATGTCGGCGTCGGCGATGGCACTGCTGAAGCTGGGGCGTAGAAGAAGAGAACGCGCATGTGCCGGCGGCGCTGGGGGGCAATCACGCACGAGGTGCTCCCCGTAGTCGCACTCGTGGCATTTGAGACGCACCACGTCAGTGCCGACTGGT